AGTTTTTTAGTTGATACAATCAATGAATAACACAATTGTATTGTACTGGTAAGTACANAGACAGGTTTACACTACCACAGTGTGTTCCCGTATGTCTACTTAATTGATTTTCACACTCGAGTGTCAATTTTTTCAGTTTTTTAGTTGATACAATCAATGAATAACACAATTGTATTGTACTGGTAAGTACAATTTGGGTAAGTTTGCTTTTGTCGAAGTATGAAAATTTACGCGAGGCCAAGTGCCAACTTTTTATCATATGGTTGGTTGGTTAAAGTAAGGGGAAAAGGGATGCAACTCCTACATATAAATATTTTCTACTTAGAAACAAATTATATTTAAAAAACACATAGTAGTAAAATTAATACCTTCTCAGCTTCGCATTGAAGCTAAAAGAGATGGAAGCTCATTTATTCAATTTCCTCCGTGAAAATAATTTATGCCTACAACCCTCTTCTTTATACATAGGCAATAATATAATTTTCTATCGTTTATAATGAATTTTTTTATCAATAACTCGTAAACTAATAAGGTTCAAATAACAATAGAATTTATAGAATTATTTTTCCAATAAAAATATATTAATTTCATTATTGATGAAAAATTGATGCTATAGAATGTAATACATGAGCATATTACACCCACATAACATAGTCTCTTATACAAACATATGACATTTTTGATACTATTTATAATCTATAAATTATCTGCATTTTATGTAATTCATAAATGTTTTTAAGGAACGTTTCCTATGTACGTTGACATTCATAAAACTATTATCACTAGCTTGTTAATGGTTTAACTTATCAGTGTAATAAGTATATTAAGGAATCTTTATAAAAAATGTGTTTATTAGTTTTTTTTCATGCAAAAATAAGCTTATTATTAAATTAAGTAAAATTTAATCAAATTACTCTAAGTACTTACTAACTGAAATTTACTTATTGACTCATCTAAAAACTCCTAAAGCGATCAAAAGTTATGTTACATAGTTATATGTAAAAGTTATATGTACATTTAGCAAGGTTAATTTGTTTATAAGAATCATAAAATACTTAATTAAATCCCATAGACAATGAGATTGTTTTAATAACATTGTATATACAAAATATTGACTTGCCAATAAAAGACCTGTCAATCGCTAATTATCATTATCATAAATAATTAATGCACGTAATAGTGTCTTGAAATGTTTGCAAACCTTGAGTATAAGCGTAAAAAATGAAAAATATGAGTCGGCATTGAAGTGTCCGCTTGAATTAATCATTATAATTTAATATACTTAATCGGTCAATCATAATACGTTTTTGTGTTGTTTTCCATATTTTTAGATTCAAAGTATTACTAAAATTATTATACAAATCTTAAACAACATTTGGCGTAAAAATAGATTTACTCTTTACCAAGATAATTAATGTTTTAACATATGTTAATAATTAATAACATATATTTATATTTTAACTATGTTAACTGTTTGCTACTACTCGATTTGGTATATTCCGTCATTTGCAAGATCATCAGATTTTAATGAACTAGCAAATTTTTCAATTAAATGAAAATAATATTGATAAATTTTTGTTTTGGTTTCTTTTAAATATATATTTTTTCAATGTATCAATCATAAAGTATTTTTTATGTTCATCCCTTATAAGGGTATCAATTTTATTATTTCAAATGGCACCATATACAAAAAATTAACTTATCTATTAGATAATGATCTCATTAAGAAAATGACTAGCTGACAATAATTTTCCAGTCAATATTTCATAATTTTTTAACATTTTTATACCAAAATGAGTAAAGCAGTGACGCCGAGGAATATATAGTGTTAAAAAAGTAGACTGTTCCATTATCGTATTAGTGTTAATTAATAGAATTATAGAGTTATAGACTTATTTTTTATCATATCATTAATCTTTGGGACTCGTGTTTGTAACTTGCAGAACCATTTTCCTAATGCTTTTAGAACTCTGTGCTTTGTCTGCCTACTACAAAACTGCTTGTCCAGAGAATCCATGCACATTACCTACACACCCCAAATACTAAATTTTATTTTAGTCGCTCTATCCTTACGTACGATTTCATAATTTCTCTAGTTCTCCATATGCCATTATTATTGTTTTAATATTTCAGAACGTGCTTTAAAATCGACCATATGTATACAGCATGTGTTACAAATAATGAATATTATGTTGGTTAAATTATACCTTAATGTATCGGTTCCTGACACGTGCTAGATGAAACACTTTTGGAAGTCTCCAAATTACAGCGATATTGCCAAAATGGTAATTATTTGCACGCGTATAACTAAAAAAGAATATAATTTCACCTATTTAATTTTAATGTACAGTTTATATGGTATTCAGTATAACGTTGTTTGCAACAAAGACTAAAAAATAATAAACGAGTCGCCAAGGTTAATATTCATATGTACTATAAGTACCCCATTACACTTATATTCGTTCCTTTTTATAATTATTATTTTTGATAATCGTATTCTATATTTTATGTTATTGATTTATTATTCTAGATGATAAGTAACATTTATAGTGTATCTGGATTTAATAAGTAAACCAGTGGGATAATAAAACAAGTCTGTTAAATGATACAATTGTTGAAATTTTTTTATTTTAATAATATATAACCAAGTATAAGTTTACAAAAGTAATCTTTTAATTTTAAAAATCAGCTAATATTATTGTTCTCTCGCTACCTCGATCTTATCCTTTCGTTTTACATTTTCCGTAGACTGATGTGTAATTTTATAACCGACTACTACACACAACTATAAATTGTACTTTTTATTTATTTTTATTACTTTTTGGTGTCTGCTTTACATGCTAACATATGGACCCTCCACCACCACGTTAGTGTGTGAGGGCAAACCGTTACCGGGAACTTAAAATGTTTATGGGTAATTTTATGCTTTCCGATTGATACTACTTGCACATTGACTGATTAATAAAACCAGTATGGGCCCGGGTGTCGGATTTGATGTTATTTTTTATTTCGTTTTTGTATATTACATGTGAAATAATCAACAGATGGATAGAAAAACAAAAATAAAGGAAATCATATAATAAAATTCATATTAAAACAGAATTAGTACCGCTGTAATAACATACCGACGTACGATTTAACACGACGCGAGGCGTTGAAAACATTGACCGACAAGACTCTCTCGAACCATTAACTTATAAATGATAACGGTAGCAAAATAATCACTAGATAAAAATTGGTAACTCTTGTGTTATGTTTTTTGAATTTTTAGAGAAGCTAGTCTCGGTATTCGCAAGCGTTGTAATTAATGTTTTTAAACTTCGATGGATTATTCTAGTTGCTCTAGTGTAGCACCTACTTTACAAACGTTTTATTAGTATGATATTATTGTTGTTTTTAATGAGTTTATCGGTTTTCCATTTTCTCTCTCGAATTTTAGTTTTATTATCGCCATATCTATAAATAAGTGCCATTATTTAACTACAAAAAAAATTCAATATTATTAATTTTCCATGACTAATGCGTATAAAAAATCGCAAATAGAAGTCATTAGATGGTAGACATTTCATTGCAATTGATTATAAAATTTTTTATCACACATTAAGAAAATGTGTTCAACAACGCAGCAATACACATGCAATTTTGGAACTGTTATGTGTATAAGCCAAGTGTATTTAAAACAATCGTTAAACGTTAGGAGCGTTCAATAACGTCCGGTTTTAACGGGTGTCTATACAATAATAATAGCACTGGGCTTAAAAACGGTCGTTCGGAAAATTTTTACGGCCGATTTTATGTGTTCCGATTAATGCGGCACCAACCGATTAATGAACTAGAGTTTTATATCTTTCATCTCTCTCTCTCTTGCACGCGCACAAATTATTTCATAATTTATTTATTTATCGGTTATCCACACAGAACTGTACGGCACAATCTGTACAGTACTCTCTATGTACAAAACGTTTGAGTTATTAGGTTTTTTTTCTTAGTATCACATATTGAAACGGATGTCGGGCAAATGTTCTAACGAGTTAAATTTCATCGTGACGTAATCATTTTAACTAAGTTCAATCAATATCTTCTTTCCACTTAAAAATATTAATCAATTAATAATCAATTTTTAGTGCTTAGTGTAGTCATCTTTGTTAACACACATTTGCTTAACGTCAATAAAACAGTATTGATGTTATCAAGAATTTTATAACCAATTACCTAATAACACTAATTAGTGTTTTGATCTCTTTTTAATACACAAAGTATCTGTAAAATTAATCGTTTAAACTAAGAATAGTTTGAATAAACTATTTATATGCAAAAGCAGATCGACATTTTATCACTTTTAATTTAATGTTTAATTAATCTATCGATATTATTTCACTTACAGATCAATTTAAATGGCTTAATTGTGCCAAACCCATGACTACCATAACCGTCACAGTTTATGTGAATAGGAAACTTAGTACATAATCTACCAACAAGTCATGGCCGTTGCAACGTTGTTTGCTCTTCTGTGCATCCGTCAACAGCGGTGTCAGTGGTAACGACAACAGCGTGACAACAAAAATAAAATGCGATTAAATTTCGTTTATTCTTTTTTTAATCGTCATTCGTATTGCAAAATGTGTGCCAAAAAAAATGTGAAAAAACATTCCTTGTTCGAAATTTATGTAATTTTAGTGTGAATATATGAATTTTTTGTTACGAAGCTATGTCGATATCAATCCTGTCTGTATATTCATTACATGTAAAACAACTTAAATCAAAGGGGAAATTCTCTTTGTGTTGCCGCCAAAAGCTTTACAATTAGCTTTTGTAACTGCATTACATTGTGACCTGAGTGAATTTAAGCCATTTATATTGTTTTTTTACTCACTGTTTAATGTTATTGATCATCATAGAGTCTTGAGAAGCGTATAATGTTTCATTTATGCAGAAACTAATAAAGAGAGTATGAACTCTCTTGGTATAAACGATCACGTGGGTGCTAATTTTAATATGGCGGCCGTTACTTTATTGCGGAGACGTGGACAACCAGTCGATACGCTTTTTTATACCTCCTTCAAGATTCAAGACCCTTACACGGTTATCGATTATGTACACGATGAAGGCGAATGTAACGACTTGTATTATCAATAAATAAGGCACTAACATTCAGTATACCAAATAAACTAGGTTCATCTTTGAAACAATGCACTACTCAATTTATACACACTAATATTGGTACTTTGATTTTCGTTCAGTTTTTATCCACGTGCTTAAAGAACCTTTCCAGATGTACTTTAATTTAGTTATGATTTTTTTAATTAGTATGCCACTAGATAGGTATCATCCGAGAAACTGACACCTGTCAGCAACATACCGAATTTGATTTTTAATTAGGTGCACCCAGTACTTAAGACTCGACGGTGTGGTCATTAGTTTTGTACATCATCGGAGACCCGTGTGCCGCTTTAAAAAATATAACACGTGCGTTTATGATTATAGTTAGTAATATTAAACACACAATCGCCGACAACGTTCGATTAAAGACGTCATGCGGCGGCAACATTAAAATCAACCTACACATTAAAAATCTCAACAGTTGTGCCACAGTTATGAGATCTTTGTCTTAGGTCCAGTCGATAGCAGAGGATGTAATCGTTTAATATCAAATCGACTTAGTAACTGTAGAACTAGTAACTTGGATTTTCATATTTATACTTTGTTGAATTTAAAAAAATGTTTATTTATTGTTAAAGTTTTGCACGCTCTTACGCTTTCATAATACGATTAAAAGTTATCTTCTAATACTTGAACACGACTTTGGATACGAATCAAAACCGGTATACTTGAAAAAAGTAAAAAATTTAAATATTTTCTTATTTATTTTACCATATCAAAAGATCTATCTAAAATCTTTTAAACTAAGAAAAGGCTACCTTATTTTTTTTTTTTATTTAATTAAAAATATAAGAATATTAAAAATATTTCTTATGATATTTTATAGTCCTAAACTATAATAATAATTTAAAATAAAATAACGCAAAATGTCAGTTGAATAAAAGTTGTTAGATTTGTCAAAACATTGTGGACCATCTTGTATGTAGTGATTAAATACTATGCCATTTAAGTTGTTTTAGTTTGACGAAGGTACAACAGATGTTTTAGCCATATCAGAAGTCTAGTAAAAACGCTAAGCTCACACCTTTATTTTACCAGAAGTGCATGCAATACTAACATCACTCTGTGCATATATTATTACGGGAGTATTAACCGTATGTGCTGTCGCATACGATGATGATAATATAAAATAATATTTTATATTGAGCTATAAATTTGCATGGTAATTTGTTCACTAGATAACCAAGTAGAAGTATCTTGCGCTGACGAAGATGCTGCGTGCCAAAGTGTATAATAACAATGTACTTATAAATCTACTCTGAAGATATGATGTACATACATTGTTTATGTGTCAGTTTTTAAAACAGGAAAAATAGGCAATGTTTATTTGAAATTTAAAAAAATATGAACATGAACAAATTAATTTCCAATAGAAAATTTCTTACAGCTGTATCGAGTAAAATAAAATAGATGGCAATTTTAATAGAAAATATCGCTTTTTTTTATATATTGTAATTTTTACAGTAGACATTTTTTGATTATTTAAAAAAAAAATGTATTGATATTTTTATTATTAGTTATAAAACAAACTAATCATTGTTTAATGACAAGTATCCTATTTTTATCAAAATTAGTTTTTATTTTAAATTGTTTTATATTATTAAATTACTTGAGATGTTTTGAACGTAATTGCTAGCAACAGTTGCCAAAATATTGAACACTGCATTTTTCCACGTGTTCCTTTGAATTTGTATTGTAGAACATGTTTATACGTATACATATTTTAGAATTTAATTAAAGAATATCATCAGTCAGTATAAATACTCTCACACATTTTGATTAATCTGTTCTCATTGTTTGGTTCTTTTTCTCTATTATTATAGTATTGTATAGTCTTGTACGTTCTTTATATTTGAATAGATCTTTCGCTCATCCGGTTAAACAAAATCAACGTCCGGGTATTGATATACTCTGAGGTATCGATTACAGACGAATAAACTCATCTGCGCAGCCACCAAGCAGTATAAATGAAACGTTTTGCAATAACTTATTTATAAATTATAAAGATTCAAATTTAAAACGGTAATAAATTACATCTCCAAGGTCTTTTGAAATATAAAACAAGTGTGAATCGTCCAAACCGGACGCATCGTATCGCGTTATTCAAAGAAGTGCAGTGAGGATTGATTGAATCAATTGACATATCCAACTGACGTTGAATGATGAAATGAACGTAGTAGATTATATAATTCAACAACACTTTTTTGTGCAATGGTAAATCATACAGTATTTTTCACACTGATTTTTAGATAGAGCCATATTATTTATACAAATTTCATTCAGAAATCCTGTAATCGTTGGTTTCTCGAACTTAATCATATCCAACAGAACTCTGGCCCTTAGAATTATATGATAATTTTTTCACACCTACATTTTATTTGATATTAATTGTATGTTTATGACTAACGAATTTTTTCGCGTGGAACCAAACACAATCATTACCGTTTGTAATTCAATAGCATATTACTGTGGTTCAAATTAGACGATTACAATATGTATGTTAATGGATAATTCATTAAAGTAACGTGGATTCAATCTACCCACATTTTAGATATAATGATAATAATAGAGTAACCGCTTCAGTCATTGTAGTTTCTTATTAAATAACTACAATAAGAAACAATAAAATCATTTCTATAATAACACATTTCAGATCATGTATTATTTTTTCGTGTTGACAAATAAATAATGTCAAAACTTTTTTTAGAAAATAATTAGATTATTATTCAGCTAATTTTTTATTTAAACATTTTTCACGTTTACAGACAATTGTCAAAAATTTGACCATACCAGTTTGTTTTTTTTTTTTTTGTACTCAAACAATATATTAACAAGAGTTTTTTGGCACGAGCATATAATAACATTGTGTTTTCCAGCTTCGTGGGTTTTTTTACACTTTACACAATTTGCATTGAAAATTTTTATCCTCAGAACTGTTTAAAAATAAATATTTATAATTTATTTGAATCGTACGATGATATTTTAATTTATATTAGATAATAATTTGAATCTTTTTAATTTAAATACTGACTCATTTTAATATTAATTATTGATGTTTCGTTATTCAGTAGTTTTTCTGTGAAATGTGAATTTGATAAAAGCACCTAAGACTAAAAGTTACCGCCCATAACCGGATTCACGGCTTCCATATTCAATGTAATAACAGTCAAAATTGATGGGTATCTGGAAGTGGCGGTATCGGAATGCTGTGCATAGTAGCTTTGAGGGGAAGTTATAGTATCGTATTAACAAGGGGTTATGAGGCAAGCGGGGGACATTCGGTGGTGTGAGCAAAAAAATAACGAAATAGCAAACGTCATTTGGATGTTCACTAATCTTGTTTTCCATTTAAGTGTCGGGTAAGGGTTGGCCGGCGGAGTCGTTGGGGTCTCAACGTCACTCGCGCTATAATATTAATGATGTCGCTGTGGAATTTATTTAACTACAACCAACGGCGGCAAAATAAAAACCGTTTTAAACTGTAGCAAACGGAAATCTATCACTGTAATTAATGAACTTATAATGACAGCACACTGTACCATTAGTATATACCACGGGTTCTAGTATCATCTTTGTAGCAAGAATCTTTTTTATGAGCAAAACAACAGCGCTAACACCAGTAGTATGGGCAATGAAGCCAACCGATACTATTCCTTCAATATTGTTGTTTATTACTCGTTGGCGCTAACGGTAACAATCTCTTTTGTTCATTATGTCTATTTGCTGTGCATAACGTATTTAATTTTATGCAAATCTGGGTTTTGTCTGTGGCGAAAATTTCTAGCTGGTTCTGTGATATTCCAAAGTATCGTTGCACTTTCTTCCAACACGTTTTACTAAGGATACGGTGACACCTTACAGTAACGACCGTAAACGATAGAATGCTATTGAAACTTGTCACACACTCACAACCCATCATCTGTCTGTCCGGATACAGACATTGTCTTATTAATTAGAATCGCTTCGTCTTACTTAAACGTGTTTCCGGTCGATCACATAGTAAATAAACGAAAAATTCGACTGGAAGAACTGTTAAAATTCGGAGTGCTTTTTTCATTGAAATAACATTTTTATTGAATGAGGTACGGAATGTTTTTAATGTTTGACAATACCTTTGAGTATATCAGTATTTTCCTTACATTTCAAGCTTTTTGACATAAAACAGTATGCTTTATCTCTTCCCCCATCACGAAAAAAAATTCAGTTCATTTACGAAGGATATGAATGTCTCTATAAGGACTGAACTTAAACCAAAATTCTGTGTGAGCCAAAGCTCCCATAATCCTCACGAAAATTACTATAATGTTTGTTTATTTTACAATATGTTATCAATTAAAACAATAACAAAATTACTAGTTAATTTTTATTGATGTCCGGTAAATTTTTAGATAAAAACAATGAGAATATTTTTAAACATAGATATTTATAACAATAAATTATAATTCTATTTTATTCTATCGTTAAACAATAGACATGAACAAGTCAAATTCATGGTACAAATCATACAATTAAACCCCTCTATCCATTGTATATTTTCAAAACAAATATACTGAAATTAAATACAGTCAGGTATAATAATTATTAGTTACACTGTGGTTTTTCTGTTTTTTTTTTTTTTTTTTACTGCAACGCATCGTTGTTAATTAATCTGTTAATATTTAGAAACTATAATGCCGTTGGTGATGCGTATCTTATAAAGGAGTCAGTCAGTGCGTGTGTCAAACCGTCGAGGTTAGGCCAAATAATGTGTGGATGAATGCCAACTGGACTAATGTAGTCTTAATGAAACATGTGTTAACATTTTTTTTTAGTAGTACTTCGTAACATAGATTTAGTGGCTTGTCTCTTTTTAGTATTATTAATTCATTTAGTTGCGGTTACCTTTAAACGAATTTTCGGAAGTTGTTGTTACATCCGGTCATGATGAGTGTGACATTGCCACAAAGAACTTTTCCATTTGTAACATCGACTTTTTAAGTTCTTATTTAAATTTTTACTAGTCACTAGAAAATTCTAAGAAATGTAGTACTTTTCATTGTAAATGAAATAAATTTCGGTTATTTGGATGGTGAGTCTAAATTAAAAGCAGATTCTTAGTTATTACTATATATAATATTATCATCTTATTTTACTGAAGTTATATCTTTTATCATATATTTTATATTTAAAAAAAATACTATTTATTTTTTTCGCCTACCTGCCTATTAAGACAATTAGGCATTTTAATATTGAGTGAAATGTTGATATAGACTACTTAATTTGCTATTACAGCAGTTACCGATCGAAACTCAGATAATGGCCACAGATGCTACAGACAGTTCACGATTAGGGTTGAATCTCAATTTAAGTATGACTCAGCCCCATGCTTATCACTGGCTTCAGTCCCCCAAAGTAGGAGGTTCTGATGATGATGATAACGATGAAGATGACCGTAGGAAAGAGGATGATGACTGTTCTCCAGAAGATGATCCAGAAATTCTAGAAATGCAGGTATGTGATTACATAGAATCTTATTTAGTTTACTAATATCACTTTGTTTTAACTTTCAACTACAAACTAGGTTAATTGTCTTTGGTAAATAAATCATAGATATTTATTGACATCTTGATTTTTTATTTTTTTTAAATTCTATAGTTCAAAAATATAATACTAATTTCAATACAAAAATATGGTTTAAAAATTTAATGTTTTTCATCTTAAGGTGACAAAGATAATAAACATTCTTTGATCATATCATAATAACTATCATTTCAGCGTGAAGAACGTGAAACTCTTAATCAACTGGCCAGACGTTTAGCGACTGCACCACCTAGTCTTATGCTTCAACATCTGGTGTACCCAAGACTTCCTGGTGGCGTCGCAATGTCAATGGCGCCAAATATCGCAAACGTCTCTTCTACTAGAGGACCATCTGAGACCATATCTCCGCTAGGATCGAGCAGATCCAGCTTGACACCACCAGGTCAAGACTACAACTCAGAAAATGGATCTTCTAGAAAAGGAGAAGCACAATCGTGGACTTTTGAAGAGCAATTCAGACAGGTAATGAACCCTCAAAATCGCACGTCATAATGTAATTTTGTATAGGCTAGACAAAAATTGTCTACGTTTATTTGTCTAATTGTATTCATAGCGCCCAAGTATAAAAGTGCATTAGAACTATGTTTCGGGGGTGGTAGTAGTGCGGAAGATTTCTTTTATAACTTATCTATAGGTATATACATTATANACAATTCAGACAGGTAATGAACCCTCAAAATCGCACGTCATAATATAATTTTGTATAGGCTAGACAAAAATTGTCTCTACATTTATTTGTCTAATTGTATTCATAGCGTCCAAGTATGAAAGTGCATTAGAACTATGTTTCGGGGGTGGTAGTAGTGCGGAAGATTTCTTTTATAACTTATCTATAGGTATATACATTATAATAGAATGTAGTCCACACTAGAAATAGTCGCGTTCGCACCGCTATNTAATAGAATGTAGTCCATACTAGAAATAGTCGCGTTCGCACCGCTATGGTTAATGTCCTTTTTTTTCTCATAGAGTTCGACGACACGCGCGTACAAAAGACCACAATCAGCGTGAGCGAGTGTGTGTGTATAAACTCGTAATGAAACAAATAGTATACAAATATAACACTCGGAATTGTGGAGACAAGAGGTGAAAAAATATATATATATACCTACCCATTTTATGAAAGAAAAAAAAATTCTATACACACGCACACCTGTTGAATTGGTCACAAGAGACGGCGAAATTATTAATAAGAGTGCCTGGACGGTAAATACAATACGATGACGGTGACAACACTACTGGGTGAGAATATACGATAATTTATGTAAAATAATAATCTAAAAAAACCGTGAGAGACGGATTTCGATCATGTAGACCGATTTGTCATCTTCACATACACCTGCCGCCCTGAGCCTTGTCATATACTATTCGTGTTCCCAATGACGTCGTTTAGCATATGCATCAACCTGCAACAGCAGCCAGCCTTACAGGCGGTCAACCCGTAATGACCTCACGACTCTTTTAATGCATGTTATCATTCTTAGAATAATATAAAATTAAAAAACCGTGTAAAGAATAATGAGGTACGTATGTAAGATATACATTTACTATGAATGAAAACGTGTAAAACAAAATGTTTCTTTATATTACAATACGGTCGACATTTTTTATGTAGATCCATTTGTTTAGATAATCAGTTAATCATTTTTTTTACTGTAAGAAAAAATTCATAGCCTTGATTTTACTTGATGAGTGTGGTCATGCACACATTCCACTGACATTAAAATAGCTGATGTTTTTTTGTTTAAACGTCGGACAAGGACTACCCGAATTATTTTTTGAAAACAAATTACCAATATTGGTTTTCATCATAGTACTTAGTATTATTTCTATAAATTTATTTAGAAGGATAGAGGCTAGCGCCTACTCCATACACAGTAGCAGAGGTTCGTCTACTGACAGGCTATTCTTAAGCATATACTTTTAAACTAATTTACTGGTATTATTATTTTTAGTGTTGATTAGCGTCTAACATATGAGTCTGACACAAATTACTTTTGTATTATAATTTCGAATAACTCATTTGGTAAGTTCGTTGTTATTTAAAAACAAAAAATCCAAATTGATCAAGTTCTCCATATTTTCTCCATTCCATCGATACAACATAATAATAATAATCAGTCAAAATTATAATATATTTTGAAGCATACAGAATTTTTGTAATCTCTCGTTGCTCCGATGGTAATGACTGCCAGCGTACGTTCTATTAAAATTCCTCCTTTTAAAGAATTACTTATTATGTACAATTATTATTATTATTAATATATGTGGTGGTCTTATGGTCTATGTATGTATGTTCTAAAATATATATATACAATATTAATGTGTTTTATTCCGCCGGGCGCGTTATTGACTGATTGGCCGGCCGCACACACCCACTCCGATAAGTTGAAAAAGAAATAATACATATAGTGTATGATAAAATAATGTATTGATCAAGTGCACAAATATATTATAATAGCGCAAGAGAAGAAAAAGATAGATACGAGATGATGGAGAGAGAAAAAGAAAAGGATTACACGCTCTGCTCGATGCAGTTAATTACGCTTATATGTGCTGATTGATTGGCCGACCGTACATGGGAATCTTTCGTCATTATTATTGTACTTCTCTTCCCCTATCTTCGAAACATTTGCTGCTGCCGTCGTCTTAACATTAAAAAACCGATCACCAATTTATTTGCTTTTCCCAATTATTATAGACAATGAATAATCGCGTCCGACCAACTAGCCAGAGATGAACGTTTCTTTGATTCGACCAACCGAATAAATGACAGCAATCGGTCAAAACCACGTTTGCCGTTCGACACCTTCACATACTTTGTTATTCCATCATACACAATATTTATGATCGCCAGACGCGCCAACAGACGGTAATTGCATCGCAGATACTTAATAATAATAATCGTACTAAATGTGTTTTATATTTTTTCGTCAAATTGTGACTGTACTTTTTTTGCTTCACCGGAACTACGCAAATATCGAACATACGATTATTTCGTTCAGAGTCCAAAAACACGTTTTATTTACTTGTAGTCCAATTGGGATACGAATGTATATAAAAACAATTTATCTTCAACCCTCACAAACAAATATCTTGTACTTTAAACATATATGTTTCCGTTCCGAGTGATGTTGGTCCTTAACCTCTTTTTAGTTACGCCATTAGTCCAAAACCAACGGTAGTGTTACACTGCGATTATTTTTTAAATAAATTTTTTTTAATTTTATTTCTTTGTACAGTCTTAAGAAAAATAAATTAATATGACGTGTTATTATAAACGCTTGTTTAACAGTTTCTGACTATTCTAAAAAAGCAATTTTTTTCGACAAGTAAAAACACATTAATTAGTATATCGATTTCAGGTTTTCTCTTTTCAATAAGAGGCTGCTCTTTTTATTGTTTAAATCACTAAATAAATGCTGATGAAATGACAGTCAATCAATTGTATTTTGACTGTGTATTAGAAAGTTGGAGAATAAACATTTAAGGATTATTTATGGTGTCATAAGACGTGACAAAATAGTGAGATTTGTTTGGCGAGGCCAGTAATAATGTATATAATTTTTTTCACTTAATATTTAAAAATAGATACGTACTTGGTTGATCTGTTAAATCTTAAAATAATATCTTATGAATGTCGATGGTACTGAAATTGGTAAACATTCTATTTAGCCGATATTAATAGCAAATATAGAAATCGCAAAATATTTTTGCAAAATTCATTTAGTTTTTAATTGTTTAAAATTATAAATATAACTAACCAATAATTCGTTTTTCATAAACTCAATTCTCAATTAAAATATTTTCAAATAATTTAGTATTCTATTTGTACATATTTTTTTTTGTGGGATTTAATAGTGCTAGCTTGCCCTTGCAATTGAAAAAGGTCACCCTTATTTCTAACATTTTACACTATTTTTCAACATTATATAACCTATAAGTGGTGCATGTAATATAAAAGGAATAGCAAGTTGTAAATTACTTTCGGTACCTCTCACCCATAGTCGATGTACAATGCGTGTGTTATTATGAAGACGTTTCGAACGAATAATATAATCCGGCTTTTTGGAAGAAGATTAAAGAAGTGTATCTTTCATTCGCGGGAAGTTTTCAATTATTTTCTGTTTGTCCATTGACTAATGTATAAACTACCCTAAAATGAAATTTCCGTGTGTTAGTGAGTAATCATTGATATGAAAATCAAACAATTGAAAACATTTTATTACGGTTGAGTTGGTCGAGCAAAAAAAAAAATTCAAATAGACATCAGACTTTAAATCGATATTCGTAAATTTTATAAGTCTAGTTTTTTTTTTTTTTGAAGTTTCAAATTCTTGGAATAGTCACATAATCGAAAAGTTCAATAATTATTTACTATTCAATTAGTGTCCGCCAAAATTTTGAAATCGTGTTAACTCATATAACAAATGATAAAATGTGAAGTGTCTAAGACGTTTTTTAAGACTTATATTATTTACAAATATTTATCAAATGTTATACACTAAAATACTTATGTTAAAAACAGACTAGAATAGACTTAATTAGTTACTGGGTTTAACTTGTGTTATTTTCAATTACCACCGACACATTTGAAGACAAATGTTAACTTTTTACACGTTTTATAGACTACGCGCATTTTTTATTTAATACTATTCTCATACGAATGACTCACTTCAGCTATACTTTCTTTAACAAATAATATACGTCTTTTACATGTGTCGCTTTTGTTGTACTCATAAAAGATCTTATTCTTGTTCACCGTGTAAATTACCCGAAACTGATCCCGCGTACACGGCTGTACGTGATTTTAATTATGTTTCCTTTATTAATTTTACTCTATTCAAACTGTCGTCGTTAAATTATTCAGTTTTCTGTGTAATATGAAAACGGTGATAGATGTCACTCATAAAAAAAATTATTTTTCACGTCGACTAGGAAAGTAGAACGAAAACGTTTCCACGTGTTTGTTGCGTGTACTCAATTTAATACAAATATTGACTCTTTTAATTAATTAATTAATGCGTTTATTAATTCTTCATTAAGATTATGATCGGTAAATAATTGTTATGCACACATGCATAGTCTTAATAATATTTATTTTATTGTTCCAATAATCTCCTACAGGTATAATTGCACTGTTTTTTCAACAGCTGCTATCGGTGAACAAACAGCGTATGAAAAAGCCGCGATATCTCTCGGTGCACATAATGGGTACGTTGTTCGTAAAACTCATATTGACATTAGGAGAAACAAATTAATAATTTTATTACATCTGATCAAAGGTGCCGACTCCGCCGACCAACCAGGTTCGGGATTAATATCATGTTCATATTATGACACACGTGAATGTATTTGAATATTAGTTGGTTTTATATCCATTCAAATAACACTATCTGTTTATTTAGACAATTAATGTAAATTTTGTATATCCGTTTTGATAAACTATACAGAGGCTATTT